GCGTCCGTCGGGAGGCTGCGTGGGGCAGGCGGGCACCGTGGGGATGATGGGCACGAGTGGGCGTCGCTCGGGGAGGTGGGGCTGGGAAAGGTGGGCAGGTGGTGGGCACTGTGGGGGCAACGGGCCCCCGCAGGTAGGCAAGGCCGGCAGGGCCGTAAGCACGGTGGGACAGTGCACCCAATGGGACGATGCGCACAGTCAGGCAGTGGAGCAAATGGGTGCCAGTGGGCAGCTGGGCGCTGACAGGGTGGTGGGCGCTAGTGAGCAGGTGGAAACCAGCAGGCAGATGGGCAGCAGTGGGCAGGTGGGTAGCGATAGGCCAGGCAGGCACTGGTGGGACACGTCAGCAGCAGCAGTGGCATTTGGGTGCTGGCGGCCCCAGAGGCTGAGCATGGGCACTGCCAGAGGAACAGAGGCCATGGGCAGGAGCATGCCCAGCAGCCCTCACCCTTTGGCAGGGATGCTCAGCCTGCCCAGGGCATCTCAATACCGGGAGGCTGTCTGGCCCTGCAGCCTGTCCTCATCCCCACTCTCCTGCCACGCTCATGCCCGGGGTCCTTCTCCAACCCCCTGCCCTATCCCCACAGCGCTGCCCCATTCTCTGCTCCATGTTCACAGTCTGTCCCCACTGATCTGCTGGTCCAGGGGAGTCCATGGTGTCCTGCTCCATCCCATCCCCACTGCTGTGTGGTGTCTGATCCAGCCCTGCCCCTGATCCAGCCCTGCCTGCCTGCAGACATGGCTGGCTTAGGGTGCTCCTGGGGCCATCCCTCACGCCAGGAGGTCTTGGCTCCAGCTGGAGCGCAGCGGAAAGTGCCCTTCCTTGGCGAGGAGGATGAGCCAGGGTGGCGAGGGGGGCCTGGCTTCCTTGTCCCTTGGCTGTCCCCAGAGCCCGTCCCCTGTGCCAGAGCTCGGTGCCCACCGCTGAGGCAGGATGCGTGCAGCAGCCAGGCAGCCCGGCAGGAGCCGCTCCCCAGGTGCAGGGCTGAGCCTGCCGGGCTGGGGCAAACCCCGCATGCCTCTTGATCCTCTTGCAGAGGTGACCCTTGGGCTGCGGAGCACCCCCATCCGCATCACCACCATCCCCAGCAGCGTCAGCAGCGTCAGCAGCGTCTGCAGCATCAGCAGCAATGTCACCAAGGTGAGTGCCCAGAAGGGCTGGGTGCCATGGGGCCATGCCCCACTTGGACATGGCCTGGGGCCTCCTGGGCCTGGGATGGGGAGTGATGATCAGGGTGGGTGGGTTGGTGCTGGCAGCATGGTCCAGAGGCTCTGGCTGGTTTTTTGGTTTTGTTTGGGGTTTTTTTGTTTTGTTTTGTTTTGTTTTGTTTTTTTACAAAGAGACCCTGGGGTCTACGCATTGAGGCACAGCCCCAAGCCATGTGAGCCCCCTGGACCGTGCCACCGTGTATGCCAACACTTGGGGACTGGGGGGGAAGTGGGCTGGAAGCTTTTTGTGGATCTCCCTCTGTTTTAAGTACCTTTTAGCGTGGCAGCAGCTCAGGGAATAACCCATTGCCACCCACCCCTCTGTTTTCCCTCCTGGGAATGGACCTTGACTGTGGTGCTGGGGACCCTGCCCGGGGAGGGCTCCCCAAGGGTCTCTGACCCACTCGGGAGCTGTGGGCTGGGGTTCTGCCTCCTCCTGCTTTGCAATCCCAAGCCAACAACACAGCAGCAGCCCCAGCCCGCCTGGCCCGGGAGGGATTCTTGGGTACGACTGGAAAAAAGAAGAAAAAATCCTTCTGCTCTGTTTTGGGGGGAGAGCGGGATGAGGTGCTCCCCAGGTGCTGGGGGTGGCGGGGCTGGGTGCGCACAGGAGGCAGCCCCACGCGCGCAGCCCTTCAAGTGCTTTTATCTGCTCCTGGCCATCTAGGGTAATGCGAGGCGCTCGCGCACACGGCCTTGGCAGGGGCCGGGATGTCAACTGCAGCACTGCGTCGCTCGTGGCCCTGCACGCGCCAAGCTGCCTCTGCGGGCATGGCACTGCTGGTGGCCACGGCACCAGTGGCTCACTCCGTCCTCGGCTTAGCCTTGCCGGCGTGAAGCAGGCAGTGCCCGCAGGCTGGCAGGGCTGCACTCAAATGCTGCCTGCGCTAGGTGGCAGGTCCGGCTGCCCAAGGCAGCTTGCTGCCTGCAGAGGGGTGACTTCCCCGTGCTAATGCGCTTGGGCAGGCTTGGCCCGAGCAGCCCGTCAGCTCTCATTAAGGTATTAGCGGCACTGGCCGGCAGGGTCGGGGGCTTGGGACCCATCGGCTGCCCGGCAGGAGACGCAGCCTCCAGGTGTGCTCCCGGTGGGCAGGGAGGGGGAGGAGGCGGCAGCGGTGCCGGCAGCCCCACCAGGTAGGGCTTGGTTGGAGGGACTGGTGGGGTGCAGGGATCTGGGGACAGTGACGGTGGCTGCTGCAGTGTGTCCTCTTGCTGGTGGGGTGCTGCCTGTGCCCACTGTGCAGGGGCCTGCTCCCCCTGGGGCATCCATCAGGCGGCACAGGTGGGACGGAGGGCCCCAAAAGTCACGGCTGGTGGTGAGGGCCCTCAAACCGGCACCAGCCTGGGGCCGGAGATGTCGGTGTGTTGTGGGTGATGCCAGCCAGGAGCGGGAGGGCACTCGGGCAAGAGTGCGTGGGTGGTCCCCGGCCCTGGAAGCGCACCCAGCACGGCAACGGTCTGGGGCTGATCCCGCATGGGGCCTCCACCCCACCCGCCATGCTGCACGGCCCCCCCAGGCTGGCGTTGCAGGCACCGGCAGCCCCCCGGGGCTGGGGGGCTGCTCGGCAGGCCTCCCCCTTGCCAAGCCACCTGGTCCCGGGGCTGGAAACGCTGCCAAATGTCGGCGCTTGCCTCGGCACCCCTGCGCGGGACCCCCGGCCACTGTGACAAGAATAGCCCAGCGGGCTCGGAGCTGGGCCAGGCCGGCCTCCAGCCGGGGGTGGTGCCCCCCGGCGCCCCTATAAAGGGCAGAGGACAGCTGAGCGGGGCTCGCCGCGGCGCCTGCCGGCACCGGTGCTGCCGCCATGCCGGGGGTCAGCCTGGAGGGGCTGGCGCAGGCCGGGGCGGCCGAGCTGGCGGAGCTGCGGCGGGAGCTGGGGGCTTTCCGGGGGGCCGTGGAGGGGCAGCTGGAGCAGGC